AAATTTTTGGGAGCAGATGCACCGCTGCCCGGCGTCGCAGTCTCCGTCTCTCCGCGCGGTGTTGGATGCTGCAGGTAACACGGGATGTCGGACGACCTCCTCACGAGAATGACGAATTATGTGCCAAGAAATATCTCTACCGAAAGCATTTAATATATATTCGCACCGGTCGAATGTCAGACTCGGCATACTTTGCACCCGTGCAATCTTAAGGTTGATTCTCTGGACGCCTTGGCTGTTACAGCAACACCAATAACAGCCACTTCGCCATTGCCTCAAGGGTTTGTCGTGCTATAAGTGAGCATCCGTTCCGAGCATCAGTCTGAAAATAGCACAGGTGAAGTCTGCGGCCCGAGCTATCTCAAGCACGTGCAAAACCCATCGTTAATGAGTTGCTGCTTGGACTTTTTGACGATTTGATTTGCATCGAAATTGTGTTAATTTTCACTCTCCTCTCACCACTTTTGCTATCTGGAGACTGATCAGCTAGATATGCTACAAAATGACGTTGATGGCTGCTCGAATGTCATGGCATATGTCTAGTAAAAATCCCAGAATAATCGAAGCGCAAGTACCTATCCACTGCGCATTTAGTACGTATGCGAATACGGGAGGCTAGACTGTGACCTGGGGTCGTGATCGTAACGGTTTGCCAATTTTTTTAAAGGATTCAGTCCCGATATTTTGATTGGATGAATTTCTGGGATCAGCTCTTACCTGAGACTGTGCTTGTTGCGTAAGTCCTGACTCCACCACCCAATCGTGAAATTCCCAGTTAATGACATACTTAAGCGGCGAACGCCCGACCAACGCTAGCCACTTTTCGTTTCTTAGCGTTGTCATGTGATGCGAGACGTAACGGAACGGAAAAGCCCATTAAGAAACCAAATTCACGCGCACCTTAGTGTGAAAATATCTGGTGTCGAACCTCATATAGTCACAACGGCAGACTGATGTTCCACAGTACTCCCTTGCTGGGAGCGGAAAAGTTTTCATCTGCCAAGAACGGCGCTCTCTCCCGTCTCGTACGTAGGCTGAGTGTGGATCGCGTTGTGGAATCTCATCGATTCCAATGTTTCGCTACTTAACGGTTCTGTTTCCTCTGGAATCGCAATGAAATAGAAAGGCCGCCGTGTTATGGTCCCGGGGCTACCGGCACTAGCCCATGCGGTTTGTGATGTGTATTGTGCGTGATTGCCGGTTTGAAGGAGCAAGCAAGAAGGGAGAACGAACGGATGAGCGAGAATGAAAACGAGTTTAAGCAATGAACCAAGTCACATAAAAGGCGAAGAGTGACCGTCCTGGCTCCCTGCGAAAGTTGGGCCAGTGACCATTTTTGGTGCATGAGGTATGCAGCCGTCCTAAAAGCTGACAATTCCGGGGGTAAACGTAGTGAAGCCTAACTGAACACTCTTTTAAACGTGATCTTCTCCCTATTTCCAACATTTTGTTTCTATGAGGAACACTTCAAGTTCTTCCAGCTTGGCCGTCTCGATGGCTTGGCCGTCGCGATGGTGAGTTCGAGTCGTTTTAGGCTCTCGCTATCTGCCCTTGACAGGCATAGGCTGTGGCCGGTGGCGGCCGCCGCGATAAAGGTCATATGACGTCAGAGAGCTGGGCGAACTGTACCGAACATTATGGCACGTCAAGCTTCCGCCACCAAATTCTTCCGTTGACATGAAATTACGCGATCGGGTGATACGGCGAGGGCTAACACAACAAACATTGCTTAACGTGTGCTCTGATCCCAGAGATCCCTCCATTCAAAAGATTCGGATTAAATCTAAAAACTCGTACCAAAGCGTCGGTCACGCTATTCTAAGACGGTCACACTGTTCACCAGTCTTAAATCCTCTGTCCTTTCAACTATAGATATGTCTGTTGAAAGGCCGTTTCACTTTGCACTTCACACACTTCAATTGCACTTTTGAATCAGGGAAGTATCAATTTGCGTCAAATGATGTCCATAGCCTCTCGCACAGTGTCAGACCACGCCATTCAGAATTAAACCAACGGTTTACGTCCCGGGCCACAACCAATGAACGATAAACGAGACCCGTTTCGTCGATCGCATCAGGCCGTTTGACTTACACGTTTTACTGCAAAACAATGACCAAATGTAGTTACAAAATGCATTGTGTTGTATCACACGGAACAAAATGATTCCTAGATGAGCACAAGCATAAGCAATATTTCCTAAAAGAGGCTGAATTCCGTGAAAAATGTCCGGCTTTGGGGCAGGTTGTCCCAGCCTTGTCGGCTGAGCTGCCCCAAACAATTTTAGGAAGTGACAACTTTGCCCGTATGCGATTAAATCACACTAATAACATTTTTGTGCTCAAGGAGATGCCAAGGAGTTGCAAAATGTGCACGGCTGGTTTTGACTATAGCAAGTGGTACCAATGCAGAAATGAATCCCAATTCTCAGAAACATTTCAGAAGTGGTTACATCGATGAAAGGTCGATATAATTTGGCCAGTTCAGTAACCACTGAAGCAAGAAAAACCTGTGCGCCTTCGGTGCGTCAAAATGATCAACGAAAAACGAGTTGAGCTTTTGCTTGAAGAGGATGAGAGGGTCGGATAGATCCCATGGTTATTCGGTTGTGGCGAATTGGCGTAACGGCTACCTGATATGTAAGCGCACACCAGGTTATTATTAAAACAACGCATGCTTAAGAGTAAATGAAACATCGCACACCTTCGGCTCGTCAAGAATGGTAGCAGGTTTCCAACAGCCACCGGACCTGCGCACCGGTTTTTCACAAAAGCACCACTTTCCTTGAAAAAGCAAGTAAAATGGACATCTCTCAAAATGAAGTAGTCTAAAGCCGAGTTGTTCTAACAGCGTAAGTGCATGGCGTCTTTGTGCTGAACTGGGCTCCGATGACCCGGGGCCCGATGATCCTGGATCTAACCCCCGCTCCTCCACACACTTTCTGAGAACGATCTCGAGCCTTGACCGCCATGCAACGAAACATGGTCGGTGCGGGGCGAGATTTAAAGGAATTGTTAAACCCTCGAAGATATTGAAGCAAATACCAAACACGATGAAATAAGCATACTAATAACTATAGGTGCACTCTTAAGTGGAAAAGACTGCACAGTTTTCGTCTAGTAAATATGCTCCTCAATACGCCAGCGTTTGATTACGTCATCGTACCTGGCACAACATTGGTTGGGAGCCAATCGACAGCCGTTATATATGAAAATCGTGTTCACGATCGCTAGATATGATCGACTCCACACTTCTGTCCTGCTTTGCCTCGATCGCTGCATGGCCATTGGAATGACGCGAATTAAATGACATTATGGTGTCATGGATGCCTGGATGACTTTGAAATAGTCTCCCGGAAATAGTCTGCACATCTTCGTGGACGCGTAGCCGAGAAACAAGTAGGGCTCATGACTTAAGAGGGGCAGAGCTGCGAACTGCAACGAATGATCTCTAAGATAGCTTTTTCGGTTCAAAACCCTCCACAAATGAGCAACACTCCCTTTGACGTGCCGGAATGCTCGGCACCGTCCGGCATACCCACTGATATCACCTAACGTTTGCGCGACCACTGCCACAAACATGCCATTCGAGGGCCAATGTAAACACCCAAAGCGACTTGAACCCACCCGCCATGGATGGGTGAACCGGAACCATGCGTTTTATGCAACTCAGCCGCCGGGACGAACCACTGACATATAAGTAGGGTGCATGTAACTGTGTGCGGTGATATTATCAACATGAATTCATCTCAATACTCATTCGATTATATTGTGTAAGGGCTAGTCTCAAACATGTTATTTTGGCCCGCATGTATGCCGATTTATTGCTTTAGTAGATGATCCAAGGTCAAACGACCGCACTCGGTCGAGCAGTGTCACTTTGTAAAAGCGGGTGGGGGGGGGGGGGGGGGGGTGGGGAGTGGGCTGAGCAAGTAAAGTTGAACTAGTCTGCAGTGAAATCCTGATCTCTCCCGGACTTGGACCACATTGATTTGAGTCCATACTAAAATATAGCATTCCCTTTTTCTCGTTTTTCTCATGTTTGCATTCGAGGGGAGGGGCAGAAGAACATTGAGGAGGCTCAATTCAGCACTTGGAGAGGGCTAGACCCCCGCCCGAAAAATGCAAAGTGACACCCCTGGCCCAGTGCATATCTGTGTGGGCTAAGCTTTTGGATCTGTATATTCCTTATTCTTATAAAAAATACGACGACGTCCGCAGTTTTCTTTTCAGCCGTTTTCTGTCCAACGCATGCGGTTAACAATATGCTGTCATATGACCTGGGCAATCCCGAGATGAGCAAGAGCGCAACATATCTCATGTTGCTTTAGGGTGCGTTCCGCCCATTGACCTATATGGTTCCGCCGGCGGATAATCTCGGAAAATTATCCGGAATGTTGGAAAATTTTCCAGAATGGCGTTCGGCTCTGCCGTTATGCAAAATTATCCCGGATAATTTTCCGTGACGAGGGAGAATCGCGGAGAATTTTCAGAGCATGTTCAAGACGGAGAATCTGTTTTTGCTATGCATAGCAAGACCGTTGGCTGTGGATAGCCCATGGGAGACTAATCTGGGGAATAATTTCCGGACCGTCCCAGTAAAAATGGAGAATCTCCTCGGATGATAAGCGAAGAGATAATTATTCATTGGATCATTTTTCCTTGGCCGAACCCGCCCTTAATATGGCCTTCCACGCAACTGGTGATCAAAACTTATAACGATGCTACGTTTCGGAAAATGATTCTGAGCTGTCAATGGTGCAAACTAAGGCAATGCAAGTAAAAGTTTTTTGTCTTATCCGAGTCAATTGCGACCAACACCGTCGATAACGATGCTTTGTATCATCGGATGCACGATATAAGAAGCAGTTAGCCAAGCTTTGGCGCTTACTTGGCATAGTTGGATGACGTCATAGCACACTGCGACAACGAATCCGAACCTAATCGAGCCACCTTGAGACAGCGTTTCGCTCAAAGCTTGCGCCGTTGTTCGGTGCGTGGGGAAGGTGGGGGTGGAATTTTTGTGGATTTCGTGATTTGTCGGAGAGGTTAGAGTGTGTGCATGTGGAATTTGAGGTGCCGGTGAAATGTGGAATGACAGCGGAACTTTGCGGTGTGGCGGTAAAGTTAGGGTTCAGTTGAATGTTCGGGTTTAATCCGAATTTTTGTGTTAGTTTGGTTTGAGGTTTTACCTGAGCGCAAAGACAAAGGAGGCGAAATGCCTGGGATGAATACGGCTGTGAATAGAAAAGGTAAGCTATGTTAACTACTTCTCGCATGAAAGGGGACGCTTGACAATCAGGTGGGTTGATTGCTTCCTGCTGATAAAGTTAAATGCAGTGTGAACTCAGTAATTTACTGCCACTTGAAAAGCATGGCCCCCAAATGGTTACTTATGTAGGACAAACAATTGAATGCTAAGTGTTCATGTGATCTGTGTGTTCATAAGCATTCAGGTTGTTGGTGTACTGTGCTTTCAACCTGTGTGAACCTATAGAAGTCTGTGTTGAGGTTTGATGAGGCCTAGTATGTCCCACATTCTAATTATTTATCTAGTCAGGCAGTGGTTGGATCACAGGAGGGCACTGGTCTGGCTGATTCTTGACTTGGTGGAGGATGCTGATGCTTACCCCTACATTAATTTTTCAAACTTGAAGATTCAGTGTCCCAGTTAAACACCTGAAAGTTTTCACCAGACTGTCAAACCTTTGCTGGTGCATACTGCTCAGTTCCAATCCCTAGTGGTTTTCTCTCTGGTGTGTTTTTAACACTTTATTTGCCTAAGTCTTTCTACAGATGTGGTGGCTCTATCTTCCCAAAATCCTGACAGTCCTTTGTCTTGTAGGGCTTGACAGCCTGCACCAAATATCAATGTTAAGTCTGATATAAATGATATGCAATGCTTAAAAGTTTAGTGGAGATAGGTAATCAACAGGTATATGAAGGATCTCAGTGCTAATTTAGTGCTGTTTGCTGATTTGTGGGAGATTCAAGCTGTCTGTTTTCCTCAAGTCCTTCATATACTTTGTAGGTACATATGCTACTGTTTGTTGACTATGTTGATTAAGATTAATGCATTTTGCTTGAATGGTTGCATGCATAATCTTTGAAACATGGTTTTTTTGCAAAGATCCAAACCACTGACCATCTTATTGAGGCAGTAGTGTATCAATTTTTAAAAAGTTTCAAGCAAACAAATTTTAAAAAATCAGCTTACATGTACTGCATTATATAAGTAATCTGTGTAATGCAGCACTATATGTGCTATCTCAGTCATGGGTAAATATATATCTTGAAACAGCTCAAACCTACCCAACAGTAAGGTACTTTATGCTGGAATAAGATAAAAAGAAAATTATAATCACTTGAAATATGCATTTTTCTTACTGTGGCCAGATAAGTTACTGATACCTACCATGATCTGCTCTGGATTTGTGATGTGAATTGTTTGAAATAGTTATGGCGTGACCTTTGCATTGTACAAGGGTTGCATTGCACTTGTATATGTACCTTATGCCAGCAGCACTGTAAAGTGTTTACCAGTGGAAGGAGCTAAAGACAAATCAGCTGTGTTATGATTGTTGAGTGCTATTTGTGTGCTCTGTGCCATCTGGATTGTGCATGACCGTGGCAGTCAAATGTGCATGGAAAATCATGAAACCAACTTGGTTATACATTTTATAGTAATGCCTAAGTTGTGACATCTTGGGTGTGATCAGTTTGTGGCAGTGGCTTAAAGAAGTCTGAAATGACTGTGATCCAAAATTGTTGCCTTGAGGGAAAGTCGCAGCATGCTGTTTGGGTTATCTAAAATGTTCCTTTTTTGATGTTATCTATTTACGTGATAATTAGGCACACTGTTATCTTGGAATGGGCTGTGAGGGAGGCAAGTACAATCAGTAGCATGTTCACTGGTGTTCCAGTTCATACCATTAGAAAAAAAGCACATGAGTGTGAGCTATTTACTGGTGTTCCAATTCATACCATTAGAATAGAGTGCATAAGTGGTAGTGTTTCCACTATTCAGCCTTTTGGGGTGAGGGGAAAAGCCACCATCAACATCTGCATTTTGTTATTATGCATTTTGCTGTCTCATATCATGGGTCCAATCCAGGTTTCCCCTGTTCAGGGAGTTTTGCTTCCATTGTTACCAAGTAAGGGAATAATAGGTTGTTGAGGTATCTCTCAGAACATATATTAATATCTTGAAACATCTGCCATCCATTTTGTAATGCAATACTCAGTATTACATGTCCTCCAGATCAGCCCTAAAACAGGACACCTCTTCATCACTGTGGCTTTGGGGAGGGTGAGGAGAGGGGCTCAGAACATTTCCCCCACCTTAACTTGCAAAATCAAGTTCTGACCCAGCACAAAAAGCTGAACTTTCCCCCAAGGGCCCTTAAGCTCTCAGCTAACTTTTGCTGCACTGGCCATGCAGACTTTTCATGACCTTTTTTGTGACCTTTGTGCTAACATGACATGGTGTTGCAACTCTGAAGATGTGATAGTTCTTCCATTTTGTTTCTTGCTGGTGTTTTGCAGTCAACTAATCATGATCCTCTGGATGATGTGTAATCACATTTGGTTCTAATATATATTTTGCAATGCAACCACCTGTGTGGTTGGCTGATTTTTTTCAAGCAGCTGCAATGAAGCACTGAATGTAAAATTAAATGTGGAGCCTGGCCAATTCCACCCTGGATTTTTAGAATTTCACTAAAAACAAACATTTTTAGTTTCCATTACATGACCATGATTTATGAATGATCCCTTCAGTACATGTGTGACAGGGCTGGTGTTTTTGAAGTGTTGTGATGCTTTGAGGATGCACAGCTTTTTTATTGATCCCAGGCTACTCACACCTCCCATGTCTTTCATCATCACAGTCTGTAATCCCATTTGTTTGACATGGATGGTCTGCTGTGTTGGGTTGATTTTCACATTTTGGTGGTGGTATATTTTAAATGGTTTATTGAAATGGTGCAATGGGTGTTGAACAATTTGGTGATCTTTATGCTGTTGTTAATATGCAATGTTAGGTTTTCCTTTGGGTTTGGAAGAACGTTAAATTGACCTTATTGGCATGCCCTGCATTTACTCTCCCATGATATCAATGACTGGTGACCTTTGGCATCCAGTGGATTTAATAGAAAATCTAAGTTGGCATAATTTTTCACCATTCTCCCATTAATGGTCTGTCTGTGTGCACATACACTGTTAGACTTTGGTAATACTGGCATGAAGGTCATCAGGTCCTGAGATATGTTAGTACTATTGGCTCTTATGCTGATAATAACTGACCTTTGATAGGATATAAGGAAATCGTGGTTACTGGATATATCAAACAATCATCTGGATAGGTTATAAAAATATGCAATGTGCCAGGCAGTATTCTCATAATGTATATCAATGAATGATGATCCTCTAAAATGTAAGTGTGGTGGAAGTATTCTCATCCCATGTCCCGACAAATGAGCACTATATTTGTTTGACCAGTATCGGTTGCATTGGAGTTCTGGTATTTTCAGCAAAGGAACTCAACACATTTAAAATAGATGGGATTTCTTAACTGTTATACTTGAATTAAAGTCATAATGAGCATTTTGTGATGAAACATGCTACAAAAGCTAGACACCCATCCATATGAACATTTTATTGCTGTTAGACCATATAGAAGTCTGAGAACAAAGAATTGAGCAGAATAAAGCAATGACATTTCACCCATGGAATCTGAGATCTTTCATCTGAGAGTATTTCCGAGGTCTTACAAGCAGCAGCAGAGTGCTGGAGAAAAGGTCTGACTTTCATGTCACTTAAAGTGACCATGATTATCTTTGAGGTAAATAGTGAAATCATTTGTGAATTGTAAACCATACTAGACTATGGCTGGGTCCATCTTGCAGGGTGCAGGTTCAGTGAATCAGTTGGAAGCCCAGTTAGGCATAACAAGGCAAAACTTCCCTGGGAAATCTATCGCGAACCAGAATTTTACCCTCAGTGGACATGCTCAACACTCCCAACTAGTCCAGAGGCCAGCTGTGAAATTGGGGTAAGGGAGCGGGATGAGCTGAGGTTGAGTTGGGAAGTTTGGACACCAGCCATATAACGGACCACGTTTTTACCGCCCTGGTCATGTCAGGCCGTTGCTCACACTCGCGCCAGCGAAAACATGGACGAACTGCCGGGCCTGATTTAGAGACCGTCAAGCACCTGTCCAGCCACCATTGTTAAAAACTAATGGTAGTAGCAACTGGCATGCAGTATACCATGGTCGACTGCCGTATCTGGCCCAATGGCCCATCTCGCGCCCAGCCGAAGTGTTGAGGACAATTACTGTACGACCGTCTGTACAACTGGTGTAACCTGTTAGAAGTCTCCGTGGTATGTCAACAGACGATTATGTTACTTTTTCAGCTAACGATGGAACAGTGAGTTCCATTATGATGTGCACAGTGCAGCGTGCAGATGTTTTCGTCTCATACAGTGTGGCCTATAACCTAACCTAGGTTGCCTGTCTTCCACTGTAGTTGTTCGCCTGCGCGTGCAAATTGACCTGTACGCACAGGAGGTCTTTGACACTAGCGGTGACCATACTGCGCAGAGGAAATTCCCGGTTGTGTTCAAGTCAGTGTCCACAGAGTTGCTGTTTTTTTTTGGGGGGGGGGGGGGGGGGGAGGTGCGAAGGCGGTGGGAGGTTTTATAGATTGCGTCGAATGGTTTCGCTGACTGACTTGTTGCACAGTTCGTTTTTCGAGCCAAGCGTTTTGTGTGCCGTGAACTCAGGGCCCGCTTTGCGCCAGCTCATTGCGTCGGGGAAATTCTGGTCACCGTGAAAGGACGCGACGCGGCCACACTACGGGGCGGTGGAGGCTCTTACTGGCATTGGCAGCGGTGTATTGTCTGTCAACCTCTGGACGCTTGCGCGAGGAGGGAAGCACCAGTCTGGAGTCACCGTGACTCAGTTGGAAGAGCTTCGGACACTGGCCAGCATAAAGCAGACATGTGGGCCCGCGTCCCGGAAACCACGCTTGCCATGACTCATCCGTCACTGACAGCGAGCTAGCAACTGGTCGGCCAGGTATGAATCATGGCGGCCTTGCCATGAGATGGTAGTGCGCGCCAGAATGCTCCCGCGGAAAATGTCCGTTGATCTTGAATTACGGCACTCCACAGTGCTCTGGGGTGGGAGGGTTGGGTTGCCTTGGTCTTGCTATGGTCTTGCCAAGCTCTCCTCGGTAGGTACTTTCATCCCAAGCCCTTTCTTGATATTGAAGAAATATGAAGGCGGAAATGTAAAAAGGACACGTGTCGGTGTATTGCAATGCAACGTCATGTGGCTAATGCAGGCATGTGGCTGGAGAGTGTAGAATAGTTCTGCTCCACCCGTTCCTTATGTAACCGCGTGTTCAGTCATGTTATGATGCGTGACTTCTAAGGTGACCTTTGCGGTCGGGGACCTCTCCCGTTGGTATTTGTACGAACACGCTGCAACTACTGCGCTTTACATCCGCTTCAACTGCTCAACTCAGCGTGTCTCTGAGAAGCTAACCGTTCCTGTCAGCTACTGGTGATGCCCACTCAAGTTTGCGGAATGGGTGCTGGGTAGCCCCCTAATGCAGCCTAAAACCCTGATATTCAAACTCCGCCCAACCGAATGAGACCGATTTAATGTGACATTTGATCAGCGACGCTGTTGACGTCAGCTGCAGGGTATCCGCGCCGGGGTTACACATGCTTTGCAGCGTATATGAATGCTGCACATTGCGACAAATCGGCTTTGAGTTATTCGGCCGTGCAAAAGTGCCGTTTTCATTTCAGTAGGCTCGGATACATTTCATCTGGTTTTCGTGTGTCATTTGGCTTTTTATGCGACGGCTTCAGCAGCTGGTCATTTGGTCTGCTTGCATCTGACGGGTGCCAGTCTGCTCGGTTTGTGATCGTGTGAAGGCGCCATCTGAGCGCACCGATTCCTTCCGCTTTCCCGGTACCAGTGTTGCCGCGTAAGTCACTTGTCATCGAGGCGCGTGCTGCGGCAGCTGTGTATGGCAACACTTGCAGCCGAGCGGTGTGCTCTGTCGTGTCGATGAGCCCGGCTCGGCTCGTCAGGTGGACTCGATGTCGCTCCGCTGGCCGCCGCCCGTCGCCGCCCGTCGGTCGCCGGCCGCCGGTCCGTCCCCGGTCCCGCTGGGTGGACTCGACAGCGCTCTGTGCTGGCCGCCGCCCGTCGCCGGCCGCCGGCCGCCAGTCCGTCCCCGGTCCCGCTGGGTGGACTCGACAGCGCTTTGCGCTGGCCGCCGCCCGCCGCCGGCCGCCGGCCGCCAGGCCGCCAGTCCGTCCGCGGTCCCGCTGGGTGGACTCGACAGCGCTCTGCGCTGGCCGCCGCCCGCCGCCGGCCCGGCTCCGCCCCGCGCCGGCTAGCGGCCGGCCGGCCGACGCCCGCCGCCAGCTGTTGCGGTCGGCTGGTGCTCGGTCAGCTGCTGATGGGTCAGCTGGTGCCCGCTCAGCTGGTGATGGGTCGGCTGGTGCTCGGCGCAGGCATGGGTGCGAATTCAGGCTTTGAAGCCGGATCCAAAGCCAAAAAAATTACTCTAAGCCGAAGCCGAGGCCGGTGGCTTTGATGGTTTCAGCTGCGAAGCCAAACTCAGCCTGTGGCTTCTTATGCTTTAGACATGCAGCCGAAACCGGAGTTTGTGTCGTCAGGTTCCAACCCGCGAATCCGGCTTAAAACCACGAGTGAAGTCCGAAACGGAATCTAGTGTGCAACGCTGTTTTGCGGAACCTAAACGATTCTCCTTGTGCTGAAACTGTTTGGGAGCAGACAGTCTCATTAGGGTTTTGTGGAGCGATTAAAGGGAGGTGTTTGGATGACGTATGTAAGAGTTGCAGGCCACCGTCCTTTTCATGTGTTATTGAGTATTGCGTGTTATTTTGGACAGCGTTTCGGACAGTGAGCTCTCCGACCTTCGTCAGGTGTCAAGTGGTTCGAAAAAGGACCGGCCGGTTTTGGCTGGCAGCCATTTGTGTATCGCAGTCTTGGGAAGATGTGTGGCATACTGAAATGACAGATGAACAAGGTTTTTTTGTTGTAAATTTGTGGTTTCAACCACACCTGCCGTGAAAAAAAAACATGATGTAGCCGAAGCTAGCAGCTCAACATGGCATGAAGCCCAAACCGTAGGCGGTACTTAAAATTTTTCGAAACTGAAGCATGGCAAAAGCCGATGTTCAAGATGACACAAAGTTGAAGCCGAGAACGAACTTAACTGTTTGAAATGATATAAAAACGAAACCAGTCGCAGTGAAATCGCTCAAAGCTGATGCCGTAGCTGGCTTCGTCCCCATGCTTGACCGAGGTCCAGCTGGTGTCAGGTCAGCTTGAGCCAGGTCAGCTGGTGCCAGGTCGGCTGGTGCCGTGTCGGCCGTCCGTTGGTGCCCGGGGTCAGCTGGTGTCCTGTCAGCTGGTGCCACATCAGCTGGTGTGAGGTCAACTGGTGCCATGTCAGCTGTCCGGTCAGCTGGTGCCCTCCACCCGGTTGCTGGCTGGGAATGGCGCCAGTCCCCGGCAGGCGGCCAAACGCGTCACGCTCCGACCCGTCAACACCGGCCCCACGGACCGCGCGCTCGGGGCCGGGACGAGGCGACAGCGCCGCCGGCACACAAACAATGAGCAGTGGCACGCCGTTACCTCCGCGTGTCTGAAACAGGGGCCGACCGATGCCGCCGGCGTGCCATGAGCAGTGGCACGCCGTACCCTCGGCGAAGCAGATGTCCGCCTGTCCGGTCCGCGCTGCGCCGTGGCTGCCAGCGGCCAGCGCCGGAGTCGGCTCTGCCCGTGCGTAGCGGCGGCCGCCGTCGCGCCGGCCCCAGCCGGGCGGCGGGCGGGCCGGCGCCCGGTGCGCCGCCCGCCTGTGCGCGGCACGCGGCCGCCGGCTCTGTCGTCCGGCCTTGCCCGAAATAGTGCCGCCCCACGGCGCGCCCGGGCGGCCGCGGTCAGACAGGCAGGCGTCACCGCCCGCTGGACAGCAGGCGGGCGAGCGCTGGAGAGGGGCGAGCGCGTGCGAGGCGTGCAGGTGCGGCCGCGGATGTCGTGTGCGTGGTTGGACGCGGACGCGTCGGGCGCACTGGGCTGGGACAGCACACACGCGTGATGGGGGTGCGGCACCACACGTAATCAACGACGCCGAGCGCGTAATCAGCCTGACGCCGAGCACATCACAGGACTGGGACTCCTATCACGCGTCGGACTTTTGTCACCGGCAGTCCTGCGCTGGTCTTGTCTTGCGAAGCGCGTAGCTTGGCTGGTCACCTGTAAACATTGCGGGGAGAGCGACTGAGCGGTGGTGTGGGGAAACGAATGGTAAACAAGGACTGAAAATATTGACAGACCGCACGAATCAGATTACTCAACGCAAAGTTAAGCTCTTGTTCTGTCCCTCTTGGCTTGTTATGGTAATGTTGCTGGTAGAAGTGAAGTGGGATCCAGACCTAGGTTTTCTCGCGGGCAGTCTATTAAACGCGGTGATGTGGAAACAAGTCAATTCGATGGGTTCAATCCATTGCTTAGAAAAGGCACCCGACTGACGTTGGTGGCACCGTGGTGCCCTTTCCAGAGCGGGTGTCCTGTCGTGTCCGGGCAATGGCCTTCCACGATCATAAAAATACATATTTCGAGCGTCATAGCGGTGACGTTCTTCGGTATCAAGACCACCTGACCGCACGTGCCGTTTGCAGCGGCGTATGCTGTCACGCTGGCTCCCGCTTTTAAGCACAGCGTGTTGGGCCCGGCGGTGTGGGCCAATGCAGGAGGACTGCTCATTGTCTCGTCTGTCCGGGTGTAACGTTGCAGCCGCGAGAGCGTGCTCCTGCTGCCGCGCAGGCTCGCGGCATGTCGACCCGAAGCGGGGGAGGACGGCCGGGCGGGGTGCACCGGTGGCGGGCGTCCGCCGTCCCGAGCGGCGTCACCGCCTGTGTCGGTCGTGTCACCGCCGTGTGGCAGCAGGTGACAGTGTGCCGACCCCGCGCTCGGGCGCGCGCCGGGGTGCAAAGGTCGGCTGTCGCCGCCGCCGCCGCCGCCGCCACCGCGCACGTGCACCAGCCGTGCTCTCCGGCGCGTGCAGTGGGGCGTGCCGCGGTGCGCGTGCATCGCGCGTGCATTGCGCGTGCACGGCGGCACCCTTGGCCCACTTCCGCTTGCGTGTCGCCGGGTCGGACGGTGATCCGGGCCGCCGCCGCGCCCCGGCTGTTCGCACCGCTCGCCCTCGGCCGGCCCGCGCGCTCGGCGCGGCGGGCGCGGCTCAGTATCGCCGCCCGGACCTGCCGGCAGCTCGGGAACGGCTGGCCGGCGGCCGCTGCGCCCGTGACGTCAGCAGACGGCGGCCGCCCGGCCCGCCGCCGCCCGGCCCGCGTTCATTGTTTGGGGGATGGGCGTGGTCGCGCGGGCCGCGGCGGCCTCCGGGATCGTCAGGGCTCGTCGCCGTCGCCTCGCGGTGATGGACTGAGCTGGGGCGGCGGGTGTGCAGTCCCACCACACGGCCGACACGCTGCCCCGCCTCCCGAAACGGACGGCGGCCGACGTGCGCGTGGACCGCTGGGGTGGATGGACCCTGGATCGCGTGATGTTTTTCGGTGGCAGGGTCCGGATCGTGGGTGCCATGTTTGCAAGTCAGACGCTTGTTTGGCTCTGCCCCCTCCCCTCCCCCCCCCCCGCCTGCTGCGCCTCTGACGTCACGTCCCGTTCCAGTGCGCGCCATCCAGGCGAAGAAGAAGCGACCGAAGCGGCCGACGGCCAAGCTCAAGCAGCAGATCCAGACGGCCAACGCCGACCGCAACCGCACCAAGACCGCTGAGCCGAACAGGTGCGTGCCGGGGCGGGGCTGCCGTGCCGTGCCGTGACGTCACGCTGGTCGCGCGCGCGTGCGGCTGGGCGCGGCGCGCCGCGGCGGCGGGCTCGATTACGCGGCGGCGGGCCGGCAGCGTGCGGCCAGCCCGCGCCGTCGAAACCTTGCATGGGCCGTGCACTGGCATGACGGGTCGCTGAGCTGGCGGTGGAGGCGGGGGGGGGGGGGAGGGGGGGGGGGAGGCGGACGGACGGACGGTACTGGCGGGCAGGGTCGGTCCGGCAAGTGGTGCTGGGCAGGCGCGGTCTCGCGTGCGAGATGCTCGCGAGATTGCTGCGGCGCTGAGAATACAGTCGATACGTCCCGGGGTATTGACAGAAGGTGATACTGAGTTGAGGGATTGACAAGTTAAATGCACGGGCCGCGTCAGCGTGGGCGATAGCTGGCAGCTCTTCGGCGATGTTTTGATGAACCCGTTTTGGTTGCCACACTTAACCATTCCACGTGAGGCTGCCTCTTGGGAGGCTCCGCTACGGGAGCGTTTGCACTAGCACGCATTGCATTATGCTATCGGTAATACGTTTGATCATATGTGGAGCTTCAAGGTCAGTACACCGGCCCCTCTGCATCGTCATTTGCATGAGCCCGGAAGGGATCGCGCCATTGGCCTGAGTGCAAGAAAGCCACGCTTCGGCTCCGCTGAAGAAGCTGCATCGTCATCGTAGCCGTATTGGGGGCTGAGTTGCGCCTCCGCCTCCTGCTCGCATCGGTCGCTATGCTGTGCTGTTCTCGAGGCACGATAAAACGCGGCGCCCGCCGTATCTTGGGAGGAAGCAGTCACCGGGGGGACGCTGGGTTGAGTCACACGCTGTTTTGTGCCGGTTGGAAGAAGCCCGGGTCGGGTGAAGCGCGGGTGACATCCACCCGAAGTGGTTCAGACGTGCACCATCGCTGCACATCGGAGCCCCGCCGCATCAGCCGGGAGAAAAATGTCTCGTCAACTGCGTAGCAGTAAATTGTCGCGGGTTGGCGGGCGCCGATGAAAGCGTCGCGCCGATTTCGCCCGAGCTCTCGCGCCCGGCGTCGCCGGGAAGATCGCGGGCGGATAGCCGAGTCGTGCGCCGCGTTAGCCGGAGAGCGGCGCCCGCCGCCCGCCGCGGACGGCCCTGGGCGTCGCGGGCCCGCCAGCCGCGCTCCCGCAGCCGGCCGTGTGTGCTGGCCACTTGGCGACGCTTCAACCAGCACCGGCCATTAGAGCGGAGGCTGCGATCGGTCGCGGAGCTGGCGCCCACGCGGCGTGCGCGTGTCGGAGAACGGGCGCGGGCTGGGGAGGCGCTCGCCACGCGGCCGCCGCTGCCGTCGCTCGGCGCCCCCACTCCCCTCGGGCTGTGCTCGCGCCGCGCCCCGTAAAACGCACGCGGATGCGGATGTCCTCGGCGCGTGGACGGCCGACCGCGGAAGGAGGTCACTGACCTCGGATCGGCTTCTCGGCGGTCGCGTGGCCGGGCCGATCTCTATCGGCCGGGCCCGGGCGGTCCCGGTCGGCCGGTGTGCATTGTCGGGCACGCCGCGGCATTCCGCCGACCAATTAGGCGAGCGTTGCAGGTGTGACACAGGAAAAGCCGCGCCGGACCGCCGCAGCGCGCCTGCCGGAATGCGATCCATTCGCCGAGCGGTGGTGACACGTCGAGCGGGGACGCGGCGGGCGGATGGCGCATCCAGGGCCGTCGTCGCGAGCTGGCCGCGCGGCGGTCGCCGCCGCCGTGGACTCGCTCACGACGGCCGCTCGTCGGCACGCCCGCCTCGAGCGCGCGTCCGAGGAGTGGTCGTCGGCTCGTGAGGGCCGCGCGGTGCGGAGCCGGCGCCAGCCGTCGAGCGGAACGAGCTGGGTTGTTAGCCGCCGACTCACGGACCACGGCGGCGGCGGCGGCGGCGGGCCGTTCGTTCGTTCGTCCGTCCCTCCGTCCGCCCGCCCGCCGGTGGACCGAGCCGGCGCGGAGCGGGGATCGGGCGCCGCTCACGCTCATGTCCTATGTCCTATGCTGGCGTCTGCTGCTGTTCTGCTGTCGCGGCGTCACCCCGCACGTCCGCTGCGGTACCGCGGAGCCGCCGGCCTGTCCGACTTGTGGCGGCGGCCGCGGTGTCCCAGGCGGCGGTGGCGACGGCACGCGCCGTGCCGCCGGCGGCCGCTGAGCGGCGGCTCGTGCGCCGCGAAAGCGAGCGCCGGCCGGGCGGCGCCCAGCGCGCCCGTTTGCTCGGCGCCTCCTGACCTCTAGCAGCGGCTGCGGCCGGGCCGCAGCCGCCGACGGAATTGGCGCGACCCGAGAAAGCGCGGGAGTGACCCGGTCGGCGGTGGCGGTGGCGGGCGGGGCGCGACACGGCGCGGCGCCGCCCGGCGCCAGCTGCGAGCGCGGCCGGCGCGACCGGCGCGTTGGAGGTCCAGACCACCGCGTGCAGGTGTCGGTCGTCGTCGCTGGGCGGTTCTGGTGGGTCGTCTGACCTCCGACCTCTCAGCCGCCCGAGGAAGACCCAGATTGGCGTCAGGTCGGCCCGCGCTAACCCGATCCGTCGAGCGACCCGTCTACTTGAGACTCGTGTGTTGCACGCGTGGACTCACGTGTGCCGACGACCGACGGGCTTCGCGGTGCACGTGCGACGCGTGCGCGTGCCTGTGGAGACGTGAGCCACGCGGCCTGACGCGTCCGCAGGCGACGCGCCGCGTCTGGTCGGACGGTTGGGGCCCGAGAGTTTGTTTGGTCGTGTTCGTTTGATGTCAAAACGATGCGGAACTGTTGGCCGGACGCACTCGGCAGCGCGCGGTGAATGAAAGCGAGCACTTTGTGTGAGAGACGGTTTACTCAGAAATAAATGTCTTTTGTGGGCTATCTGTGAGGAGTGGAGTTTCGTTGAGATGATGTGCACTTCCCTGTCAGTCCTCACATTGCCCGCGAATAGAACTGTCACCATGACTTCAAATTATGACGCTAGCTGCCGGCATGATGTCCCGAATTAATGGCATTCCTAGGCTAACCATGGTAATTATCTTCTTAAGCCATGGTGCCGAGTCCCACTGATCGTCCAACCCGATGTGGTGCTCAGACGCAGGATACGATAATCTCGGTAGTGGATCAAAAAAACATGACGCAATATTTAGTCAAGTAAAGTACAGGCCACACGGCCCTTGCCATAACAGCCAAACAGCCATAACAGCGGGCCTGGTCGGTCGCATCAGCCGGGTGGCGGCAGTCGGGTGATGTCTTGACGCCGTGGGAGAGACACCAGCTGTGCGCCACGTGATCGGGCAAGCCGTGCAGTCCTCACTGCCCCGTACATGGCCTCCCGTGTCGCGTGTCGCGCAGGTGAAGCCCGCTCGGTGCGCTTTTTACCGTGGCCGCGTCACCGTCTCACCTTCGCTGCCCGTTCCAGTTTTTCGCCCGGTGGAACGCACACTTGGCGGTGTTATTCCAACCGCCCGCGGCGCGCCTCTCACCCGTGAACAAACACGTCTTAGGCGTCGCCCCCGGGGAACGGATGCTAGGCCGTGTTGCCAGGCCTTGCGCGCCGGCAGACGACAAAGGCGCCGTCGCCTGCGTCCGTGCCTGCGTGTCCCCGAGACGGGCGGTGGTCGCGGTCGATGGGAGGGTTCAGAGACGTTCGGTGAAGTCGATCACGTGGGCGGCGGACGCAACCGCTCCGTGCTGCGCCGCTTCCCAGTATGGACGCTGTCCCAAGACGGTCGCGCTGACGGCCGAGCGGTGCTCTGTTGTGACCGTCGGCGTCCGCTCCCTGACAAAGTCGGCAGCCTCGCGGAGCCGCCGTATTTGGGCGTGGACGTGCGTCACCGACACGCTTGACGTGCGGCGACTGCTGTCTCGAGACTGCGCGATGTGCGTGTTCTCCGCTCCGAGCTGCGGCTATCCGGGGTGTTCTCCGCCCTGAGATGCCGTTATCTGGCGTGTTCTCCGCTCCGAGCTGCCGTTGTCTGGCGTGTTCTCCGCTCCGAGCTGCTGTTATCTGGGGTGTTTTCCGCTTTGAGATGCCGTCATTTGGCGTGTTCTCCGTTCTGCTCGAACGCCATATTTCCAAATAAATTTGCTTTCTAATGACTGAATAAAAATGAATTTACTTTTTAGTCATGTTACGTATTTATATAGCATTAGTACAGGTCGTATTAATCCGACTTGCATTCGCATTAATTCAATCTATTTGTATCATGGGTTTGTGCCGGAGTTTAATGAACAAATTGAGCTGTTTGAAACTAGGAAGTGTGTTTCTAGAAGTACGTCTTAACATGCGGCGGGAGACAAATGATGTGAGCAAGATGTCTGAACTTGTTTTATAAACCTGCGTTGGCGAGTGTTGACAGGCCGGTGCCTTTGCTCGGATGTGCTGTACCAAAATCATTATGTATTGTTGTAGGACGGTCAGTCGAAAACACAGTCGTGCACTTGTCAAGTAGGTCGAAAGTGCAACATTTGGATAATTAGCTGAAGAATGATCGCTACCCTTGCCACCAAAACGTGGCTTTATCCAAAAACTGTGTAATTAGGCGACGGCCGCGCAATGAAATCTATGCAACGCGGCGGATGCTCACAAAACAGGCGCCTGGCGCGGCCCGATGTCCGTTTTGTCCAGTTTACAGCTCGTCCTCACGCCCCATTCTCCGGGCCTGCGAGGACACGGCCAACGGTCGCGCCCTTCGCCGGCCACTCCCGGCTGGTCAGATGACCCCCGAGCCCTGTGACGAGCCCATCGATCCCAATCAATCTCACCAGCGCGCAGCTCGGGCCCGGCGGCCGCGGGAGGCGGCGTGGCGTTTGTGGCGCTTTTTGTCGCAGTCGTTTGAGGCGCGTGCGGGCGAGGCATTCGTGGAGGTCCGATTCTGTTCGCAAATGACGTATGTGCCCCCTCGTGATGAATGCGCTGTCACTGTCGTGTGCGAGTTGCGGACCTGCAGATATTTGGCTGCCTCCTGCATTCAGAGCTCAGACACTCGGCGTTGAGATCCGTTTCGGTCC